GGAAAGAAAATGGTCACACAAATGTGAACCTTAGAAAAATGAATAAGAATAACATACTAGTGAAGAGTTAAACGATAAACAATAAAATACTGTACTTTAAAATGTTTTAACAATATCAAACTGTGCACCTGGACAACAAATAACCAATATACAGCTATGGACATTTCTACAGTAATGGATGTTTGAAAATAGCAGCAACATCAGAGATGTGCAGAATGACAGCAGCATGTTATTTAACTGACTAAGATAGAAACTGAGCAAAATCAGCATGAATGTAACAACTTATTGAGGTTGTTGGGAACAGTGATGGTTATTTATTTATTTATTTAATCAGAACAGAGCACATTAATGAACAATCTTATCCTTCTGTACAGATTTTAAATGAGCCAGATTATAGCATAGTTGCTAATTTACATCTGTAAAAACAACACAACAATATCAGTCAAAAAACATAGACACACGTTCAGACAATGACTTTACAACTATAAAATTAGTGAGTGCATGACTGGGAGCTTTTAAGACAGTTTAAGGTGCTTTTTAAATGTGCAATAACTGGGACATTCCCTGATGCTTGTTGGGAGGCTGTTCCAGAAATGACCCCCTCTGACTGATAGAACGGTTTGTCCAAAGGTTGTTCTTCTGTGGTGGATATCTAGGTCTCTGGTGCAAATACATCTGCCAGGTTTAATGTAGGTAGAAAGTGGAGGCGGGGCTAATCCATTCAGAACTTTTTAAATTAAACAACTATTTTTAAAATGAATAAAATGTTCAAAATTGAGCATATTGTATTTTTCAAAAATATTACACTAATGGAATGACAGTGGCTTTTGATCATAGATTTTTAAAGATTTTTTGCACTGCAAAAAATATAAATCTCAATAAGTTATTTTTTCTTAAAATAAGTGTCTTTTTCCTTGATTTGAGGAGGTAAGTAAGACACTTTGCCAATGGAACAAGACAATTTCCTTTTAAAATAAGAAAAAACTATTTTATCGTCTTATTTCAAGTAAATATTATCTAACTATCTTATTTTAAGAGTGAAAATACTCATTCCATTGGCAAATCATCTTATTTACCTGCTCAAATTAAGGCTAAATATACTTAATTTAAGCCATTTTTTACTTATTTCTGGATTGTTTTTGCAGTGTGAATAATATTTCTATTGGTTATAAAGTTGTTAACGGTGGTTATAGAGTCTTCCAGCTGCTGGGAGGGAGGATCTGTGATAACGCTCCCTGGTGCATTTATGGTGCAGCAGTCTGTCACTGAAGGAGCTCTTCAGTTCTGCAACAGCTTTATGCATGAGGTGGGAAACATGATCCAACAGATGTTAATTTAGTTCGGATCCTTTTGTTTCTCACCTTCTGCACTGAGTCCAAAGGGGAGCCAATCTCAGAACTGATCAGCCTGATCAGCTTATCCAGCCACTTTCTCTCTCAGCAATGCAGTTGGACACACTATGTTTCTTACAAAGTTCAAAGTTCATCCTTAAGAACAGGTATTTTGTCTTTTTTATCACACTTGGGTCAAATAGCACCTTATTAGCAGACATATGCAGGACGTTGATATGCTGAGAAGGTAGGAACTACCTCCTGGGAGAAGAAGAAAAACAGGCAAGATACCAGCCTTTTGGGAACTGAAGTGGGACACCACTGTTTTAGAGATTGAATGACATTCCACAAATGTGACAAACTCAGGGAAGATATTCTTTATAGTTTACACATTTTATTAAGATGCTAGTTGTTGCCATGTTGTTCAGTAGGATGAGATCTCAAAGCAGAGTTGTAGTTTCTTTGTGGCAATAGATTCAACCTTAAACCTGTATAGAGATTTTAGGCTCTCCATTTTCTCTTGGTGTTTTGAAATAAAAAAACCAATCAGAACAGTTGTCCTGCTTATTTTTTGTGGCATTTTCATGCAGAAGTTGTTACAAGTTGGTGTAAATGTTCTATGCATCAATACATCAGGTGGTTTCTGAAAGTTACAAAGTTCTATAAAGTTACCCTTAAACGTTATACAGAAATGTTACTAATATTAGAAAATTAAAGTTGTACTTTTGATTATCTACGCAATTTCAAAAGTGAGTACTTAAAAACTTTAACTTCAGTAGATTTTTGACCGAGGAACTTTTACTTCTAGTAGAGTAAGATTTGATCACAAGTATCAATACTTTACTTCGTCCAGCACTGGATTTTACATCAATGACTTAAGACTTGAGTTTGACCTGTATACTGGAAAGGCTTTCATATTTTACTCCAAATTTAGTTTAAATCATCCCATATTAACAAACACAGACCGTCTCTGCCTCTCTCTGCACTCTGTGTCTATGTGTGTGTGAGCTGCAGCAAAGCCAATCAAGTGCTCCACATTACAACTAAAACTCCATCTATGTTCCCAGGTGTAGTTTTATTTTCTAAGGTTCAAAAACCTCAAAGTTGAGATAGAAAATCACAATTTGAGATGGAATAATTTTTTCTAATTAGAAATTAGAAAAAGAGTAGGGGCTACTGTTGTTTTGCTATGAAGAGAAAGACCAACTTTAGCTTATTAGCAAGTATTTAGCTGCGCTGGTTTGTCTACCAGTTGAGATAAACTTTGATTTTATAAAAGAACACATGTTCCATTATTTACAATTCAAAAGTAATTGAACTATGTAAAAGTTAAATACACTTGATATAATTTGAAATTTGAAGTTTCAGAAATGGGAATAACTATTAGTTACCTTTCTTAAAAGTCTTTATAGGGTCTCAGTGAAATACATTCAAATTCAAAATTTCAATTCGAGAGTGTTACTGGAGGACAAGAGCTTATTACTTTTGAAACATCCATCCATCCATCCATCCATCCATCCATCCATCCATCCATCCATCCATCCATCCATCCATCCATCCATCCATCCATCCATCCATCCATCCATCCATCCATCCATCCATCCATCCGTGATGTGGGGCCGTTGCGGATCCCCTGCAGTCTATGGGCATAAGGTGGGATATAACCTGGACAGCTTGCCAGTCTGCTGCAGGGCTTTTGAGACATTTGACAAATAAATACTTTCATCAAAAACAGTCACTTGGTAACTAATATGTAAAAAGGAAATAAAAAAAAAGGAAATACATTTTATAAGAAATTTGTGAAAAACACTTAAATAAACACTTTTTTTAATAACATATTCCTCTGAACATGAATGCTGATACAGAGTTAGCTCCCATATCAGAGGATTTAGAGAGCACTTCCAGCCAGTCACAGTTAGAGAAACAGGACTGATGATGATAAGAACAGACAGGGTGAAACTGCTATGAGAAAAAGCAGAGAGAACATAACATTAACTGAACTGAGCCTGGTTCTGCTGGAGGTTTCTTCCTGTTAAACGGGAGTTTTTCCTCTCAACTGTTTCTACAAGCATGCTTATTGTGAGGGATTGCCTCCGAGTCAATGAGTCGATGCAATCAAACTTTGTATCAATTTGACTGTATGATCTGGTGAACTGTAAAGTGCCTTGAGATGATATGTGTGGTGAATTGCTGCTGTATAAATAAACTGAACTAAATTGAACTGAACAAACAATTTCTGCAGAATGGGAGAATAGAGATAGAATGAAGCAGAATAATGAAAAGGGGGTCCCTATGTGCTCCAGTGGTCTAGGCCTATAGCAGCATATCTATAGAGATAGCACTGGATAACCTGAGCCACTATAACTATAAGCTTTATCAAAAAAGTTTTAACCCTATCCTTAAAAGTAGACTGGATGTTTTACTTTATTTACAGTAGGTAACCTATCAAACACATTAGGCAACATTAGATCACTGGTGGTATTCAATGACGCAGAGTTAAAACTCAGCTTTAAAAAGGAGGTGGACCCTGCAGACCACATTTGACCTTACCATTTTACCATATTTCCTGTAAAGTGGTTTTTATATCCAGGTCGCAAAAAACGATAACTTTAATGGCAGAGGGTTAACTTCAGGCTCGACTCCGTCTCGACAGTCTTGAAACTTGACTCACAACTTGATATAAAAACTTGAAACATATCTGGTGAGACTTGTATTACTTGGTCCAACCACTGTGCAGACCCTTATGGGCCATTTAGAGGCCAAGCTAATATACATTGCAAAGAATTTTTTATTTGTTAACCTTTTCTTGTACCCTTCTTCTAATGTTATTCATTTATTTTAATCATTTGTTACAATAAAATCTAAAAATAAAAAAGAATTTGCACATAATTTAGAAAAAAAGACTTCCTTATTGTATTATTTTAAATAGTATATCAGATGTTCGGTCATTGGGTAGCCTTATTACCAGATTATTTTTACTCTTACTTAAGTAGAAATGTGAAAAAAATAGGGTTACTGTTACATAAATCCTAGTGTTAGGTGCTCCACCCATGTCTGTCTGGTGTGACCACAATGAATTATAGTCCATCTTGTTCCCGAGTGATTTCAGGAGGCAGATTTCCTCACATTAGACTCTATAACTCTAGATCTACCTGGTTTACATGGATAACATGCTTGAAAATGCCTTTACACACAGAGGCATTTATATTAAAATGATCCTTGGTCCTCCGGCTGCAGAATGAGCACCGAAACAAGGCGCCTCCCCGACCTTTTTTTGAAAATTGTTTTCTGTCCAATTTATGATTTTAATCAAACATTGTTTTTTGTCCAATGAAGGACATACATTCAGATGCAATGAAGACATCACAATCTTCAAGCTCAGCTGCCTGTGTTTTTTAGAGACTGAGGAGTGAGGAGTGAGTTAATGCACAGAAAAATATGCCAACTTTACCGAATGTGTTCAGCTTTAGACTAATGTCTCAGTCTGTAGAATGATTGAAATTGTTTTCTGCTCTTTCCATTCAAAAAACAGCCTCTCCAAGAGCATTGCTGATGCCTTTCCTTTTTGCATCGCAGATCTGTTAACCCAACCACTGGTATTTAAAGGGCCACATATTTTTAAACCTACCATTTGCATAAAGTACAAAATAAAAACAGCTGAAACCGGACTGAATCCTTTTTTTAAAAGCTTTTATTTGACTTTTTTTTCCACCCGTTTACATGTTTGTAACACCATACAGTACAAAGATAATTGAATTTAAAAGTGCAGTCCGACTGAAATCTCTCTCTCTGAACAAAACATGAGACACCGCCTGCCGTGTGCATGAAGTAAACTCGGCAGGCTTGTTAAAAGGGGACTCTGAAACCCATGAGATGGTAGGGGATATATGTGCAAACATTGAGGCCGTGCTGCTTCTGGTTATGAATCTGTTCCATATTGAGCACTTGAAAACCAAATCATGATAAAGTATTCTAGAGCGAACAAAAAAAAATAAACAAAAAAAAAATAAAACAAAATGCAACCAAAAGCAGGGACATTTTACATTTAGACAAATAAAGCAAATAAATATATCTCTGAGATCCTATTGTGTAAACAAAATTATATTGTCGACCTTTAGCTTATGTTAAATGTATGAAACACAGTTTTCATTTCCAACATGACTTTTTAAAATTAGTTTTTAAACTGTCCAGGAAACAGGCGCCTGCAATCTGCTTGTAACCTTTACTCCTTGACTCTGCGTTCGCTGCTCTTTCAGTCCGCTTTTGTCAGCTGTGCAAGAAACAAATGATTCTAGAGTACAAACGATTGATTTCTATTTTAAAGAAAAATCTTTTTTTTCTGTCATCGAATCCATTTCAGTGAAGGATTAGTGTGTATTCTGCTAAACAAATTGCTGCACGTAGGTCGTCTTCTGCAGCGTGGACTCGCTCTAGATAAAAGGAATCCATGTGTACTTTAAAACAACATACTGACAGCAAATTTTGACCAGATGTGGGACAGAACGAAGGTCATAAAGGAGCACCTAAATAGTGCAAAGTTTTCTCTGTGCTTTTTGCTGATCCCCTCTCCTACTATCTTCATCTTTCGTTTGAAAAAAAAAGCATCAAACAAAGACAAAAAAGACTATTTCAGCCAATTCTGCCCAAACTGTTGAGTTATATCTACTATCTTTCAAAATGAATCCTATGATCATATCGTAAGAAAACAGCCAAACTTAACATAACCTCCATGCTATCAGGGAGGCTGTGTAAAGATAAGACTCCATCGTATCGTTTGTGTAATGAGGTTCAAGGCCAAACACACTGAACATCCAAAATTGACTTTTCATCTTTTGAGTGACAGCCTCTAGCTTTAAGATCATAGCACCAAAGTAATTTTGGCCACTTTCCACAGCTAAACAAAATTATAAATCTATCTAAATGGACCCATTTTCATCTAGTAGTTAAATTGATAATGAATGCATGTAGCTGTGCAGATATTATATATTTATCGTTATAAATACAAAACTCTGATAATAAAGATAAAGAATAAAAATTGGTATTGTAGCTTTAAGAATGCATCAAAACTGTGATCAAACACCAACGTAAACCCAATGGTTGTGTCCTGAAGGATCTAATATTTCACTGGCTCAGTTGAGGGCCGTTGGTTAGTGGAGCAGCGTCCCTCCCTGTGGACAAAAAGAAAGTTGTAAAAACATGATGCACAAGACTGCTAGATGTAGAAGCCATCATTATCTGCAGTGAACAGCAATTTAATAAAGCCAGTTTCTGGTAATTTAGCTAACGAGAGGGAAAATCTGATGCAGGTCCAACAGATTCTAGAACTGTTACTTCCCCACTGCCATTAGACTGCTGAATGTTTTGTAAAATGGGTTATTTTATTGTATTTTATTATATTTATTATTTAAAAAAATGAATCTGAAATGTTACACTTGTAAATATACAGTCATATGTTTTTATTACTGTTTTTATGTATTTCTTAAGGCTGCACTTTAAAAAAATGAAATTGTCTAGAGAGCTGTTCTTAACTAAATTTATTTTTATTTTACACTTCTGTGTACAAAATGACAAAATAAATTTGTCTAAGTCTAAGAAAAGCTAATGGAAGGAAACATAAGGAAAGCTAAAATGCTAAAATCTAATCTATCTATCTATCTATGCAAAAACTTTACCAAAAGTTAAGCTTCATTTCAACAAATTTAACTTCAAGTTTCTTTGATTTAGAGAAAAAAAAGGATAAAATATTTGGGTTAAACCGCCAAAGTTCTTAGCTGCTGCATCCAAATTTAAGCTAGCAGGCCAGTCGCTATGTTTGCAGATGATGCAAGTGTGATTAGATAAGAAAACTTGATCTGTTTTAAATGGTAAAAATCAATCCCAAAGCCTTCAGTGAAAGAAATTTTAGGCTAAAGAGTCAAAGGTTCTTGACCTTAAATGCAAAATGGTTGCCAAGAGTTCAGAATATCTATTGCTTCAGAATGGGAAAATAAAGATAGAATGATAGAATGATGAAACAGGGTCCCTATGTCCTCCAGTAGTCTAAGCCTTTAGCAGCAGAACTATAGAGATTACTAAATCAGTGGCACACATGGTACACTTCCATTTCTCTTTCTTCTGTGCATACTGTAAATTATTTAAAAGAAAACGCAAGAAATATTTCTTGTTCTTATTTATTGGCTTGAATTAGCTACTAGTAGTAGAATGCTATAAGTTAGCTAGCATAAAATCACAGGAGTTTCAGACTAAAACCATCTCCAGCAGCAAAATTTGAATGAAATAGTCATAGCAGGCATGGACGAAGTTTTGATTTCAGAAGTGGGGGGGGTGGGGGGCAAGTAATTTTTAACTAACTTTAGTATGTTTGACCGTCCAATCACAGTTCAGATTCAGTGGCACATCAGATGTTTGTAAAGTGAGCTTCTCAGGAGTGACAGCGGTGACAGACAATCACATAAGAAAGGACGACTGGCCAATCAGGAGCTTGTGGGCGGGCTAAACTAAGAGAACCGGGCCTCAGCTTGAACTACGTTTTTCCGCTTGGTCCTAGTGCTTGATGTCTGTGTTGTGCAGGGTAGCATTGTTTTTGGACATTAAAACGTGCAGGGGACCAAAATAGCAGTTTGAAAAAGTGCAGGGGACATGTCCCCCCGTGTCCCCCCCCCCCCCAACATTACGTCCATGATAACAGGGTAAATTACAACTACTTTCTTTCGAACATTTGTTTTAGCCTGCCTAACCTTCAGCCTTGCCTATCTAATGTTTTTGGAGATTAATCTAAATAAAAGTCAATCATGAGGTTTAAAGCTCTTGTTTCAAGTTAACAGATAAGTCACTAATTTCGATAACATATAACTTCAGTGATGCCTTTTGTGCGCTTTTTGCATGTTCTATTTGCAATCGCTTCCAGGTTTTAAATTTGCCCCTTCTGGAAGGTGCTGTATTTCAACTTTGAAAGTGAAAACTCTCAGGCAGTGGATATTTGAAAAGTAACGCATGTAAAACTTAATGAAAGGTGTAGAAATGGATGCATTTTGAGACTTAAAAACAGTAGTGTATGTGATTGTTTAAATGCATAAAATGAGAAAAATGTGTTGTTAGGAGTTTGTACTCCAATTAGCAGGTAAGCTATTGCAAACTTCAATGAAAAGTCTTTATATACTTATATATGCGTTGTTTCTAGATATGTTGATGCATCAAAAATTGAATAAATGGCAGATTTCATTGGCAAATTTCCTGTTACCTGCAGACTCCAGTTGAACATTCAAAGTTATTTTGGCAGAAAGCTCCGGACGGTTTGCTGCTCATGATCCTCCACAGTGGGGTCATTCTGGCAATCCTTTTCAGTACGTGTTTTGTGTGTTCTCCTCCTCGATCTGTGATCTGACCAGAACTGGGCCGGATCGGTGACACTAACGGACCCGCACGTGTCTAAAGAAATACACAACAAAAATACAAGAATTTCTATAAGAAAGTTACCCACTGGTTCTCTGTAAGGCATTGCTGTTTGGTTTGCAAAAAAGCCTTTGGACAATCAGTTTTGGCGCATATGAAACATGCGACATACACGGCACAAAGATGAAATCTAAATAAGTAACTTTTTAATTTAAGTTACTTCTTAATATAAATACATCTTTTTTTCTTTTTTCTTTTACATCTAAAATAAGAAAAAAAAACGATTGCTTTGTCTTATTTGAAGTGCATATAGTCCAACTATCTTCCTTTAAAAGTAGAAATTCGCATTCGATTGGCAAACAGTCTTATTTACCTACTGTAGTCAGATCAAGGGTATATACACTTACAGTAATTTCAGAAATGTTGTTTTTGAAATGTAATGTATTAGACTTCTAGTTCAGAGCTCTGAAAAGCCACGCACTTTGAATAAAATATCCAAATTTAATGTTTATCTTAAATTAGGAATATCTGAAAGTTATTGTCAACATTTTAGTCAAATCAACATTTGGTTGAACTTACCTGCTCCGACAGCAATAAGACTGTGACGCACATCACCACCAGTGCTTTTCTCTGGCTGAAGAAGCTTTTCTGTTCCATCTTTCCCATGGATTGAAAAAAAAAACAGAATAAGCAAAGAGAGATTCAATCTCTGAACACCTCAGAACCCAGCCTGGACCAGTTGGATCCACTGATCTCCAAGTTGGGACCTCAGCTTGAGAACTGGACCTGCTCTGCAAGGAAAGTTCTTGTTGTTCCTGCAGCGGCTTGCTGAAGGTATAACCCTGGATCTGCCTGACTCAGCAAAGATTGATGGGTTGGGCTCTCCTTTATATAGGAAGACCATGATCCCTAAGGGGTGGGGGGGCACGAGGGAGGGACAGAACTCCAGTCTCCAAAGTGTAATTACCCCCCCTTGTTTCTCTTTATCTCTCTTTTTTTGTCTAATTGTGACATGATGTGTCTGCACAAAGCAGTTGCCATAAATCCTGCGTCAACCATGATCATAAAGGCGGAAAGTTACAGGAAAAAATTATGCTTCCAGTAAGACACCAACTGCTTACTCCTGTTTTATTGTTTTTTCCTTTTCTACATCTTTAAAAATGGGACACAACTACAGATCCTCCATCATATCAACTACCTCATCCGTTAAATCGAACACGACATGCACCTAGAGATAGAGCAAATCAACTGATTCAAAGGGATCTCAATGCGGACGCTTCGTATGTCCAAGAGTCAGATAGAGCAGACGGGTCTGAGCATGCTGCTTTTTATTTTGCTTTCAGGAAGACTTTGGTCAATTTAACTGCAGTCATTCGTAGGAATGTTCTTTAGTTTTGCAACTAAACAAAAAACAAGAACTTTGTCTCTGAGAGATAACAGCGGAGATTACGGTGTTCTGTTCATGTAGACGAAGTCGAACAGCTGAGGGAATTTCAGGACACTAGTTTCAGGAATAAAAGATGTAATTCAAAGTGGGATGTAGGATTTTTTTCCCCCTCACATTCCTGTTAGGTTGGTTCTCCCTCAGGAGACAGACAGGAATTATGTGCTTGTGTCATGATTTATCATCAATCCTGAGTCATCATCAATGACCTTGACAGGCTCCATAGGAGCAAAGAAGAAGATTAGAGTCTTAATCCATTGGATTATTTCACAGTAAGGCCAAAAAGAAAAAGCTCAAATTAACGACATCTGTAAGAATTGTTCTGTCAGATTGTCCCCTAAGCTTTCAGAGCAACTTGACATTATTAGGTGTTTCTGGCAGGACTATGTCTGACTATGTCATCTGATGTTCCAGTTTGCCCTCCAGCACAGTTCACTTGTATTTGTTTAGAATGAAACAAAATGTCTGACTTCATAGCGATATTTGAACCTTACACTTAACTCAAACTCCATCTGGAGACAGGATTGATGGCAAGTGTCAGACGTGACCACATCTGACTGGCTTGCAGTTCATGTGTAGGCTGCGTGCATGCTGCAGACAAACGTTCACAGAAATAGGTTACTCAGAAAGTCCCTAAATTTAAAAAAAGGGCCTTGACTGAAAGCCAATAAATCTGATAGCAAGTGTGGCAACAGTTCAGCTGCAATAATTCCCTGCCCTTCTTCTTTCCCATGAACAGTAATTCGAAACAAACACAATTCACCATGCGGTGTTGAAACGCAATTTTTACCAGGAATGATTGAGGATTGGGGAAATGGTATAACACTCCAGCATGGAAGATTTCTACAGCAAAAAATAGGATAATATTCTTTGATTACGTAAGAATCAAGCTATGTTTTCGATGTATGACACATTTACTTGTTTTATAAGATTAATTGGTATAAGAAGCAGTTTTCTTGGTTTAAGGATGCACATATTGGTTTGAGGAATCAACTGGTTGATAAACTGAGCTGAGATGCAGCAAAAAACGAGCATGAAACTAAAAACTATTTGGGACAGAATGTGTCTGATGCAAAACTTGCATTTTTATGCAGATGACAGTTATTTATCACACTGGAGCCAGTCCTGAGGCAGCTAGACTGCAGAAAAATGATCTAGAAATAAGTAAAAATGTCTTAAATTAAGTGTATTTACCCTTAATTTGAGTAGGAAAATAAGATGATCTGCAAATGGAATAAGGATTTTTACTCTTAAAACAAAATTAGATTATCAAAACTTGAAATAAGACAAATTTCTTATTTTCTCTTATTTTAAATGTAAATGGTCTTGTTCCATTTGCAAAGTGTATCACTTGCCTACTCAATTCGAGAAAAAACGCACTTATTTTAAGATTAAATTACTTAATTAGATCTACTTTTTTTGCAGTGTAAACTTGCTTGTCCTCCAGGACACAACCAGTGGGTTTACATCGGTGTACGATCACAGTTTTGATGCATTCTTAAAGCTACGATACCAATTTTTATTCTTTCTCTTTATTATCAGAGTTTTGTATTTATAATGATAAATATATAATATCTGCACAGCTACATGCTCGTTATTCAATTTAAAACCTGTTTATCCATCCATTTTCTGACACAAGTATCCCTGCTGGGATCAAGAGGGGTGCTGGTGTCTATTTCCATCTGTCTACGGGCGAGAGGCGGGGTACATCCTGGACAGATCGCCAGTGTATTGCAGGACAACACAGAGAAAAACAACCATTCATGCACACACTCACACCTAAGGAGAATTTAGAGAAGCCAATTAACCTAAAAGTCATGTTTTTGGACTGTGGGAGCAAGCCGGAGTACCCAGAGAAAACCCACCGGGAGAACAAGCAAACTCCATGCAGAAAGACCCCGGGCCGGGAATCGAACCCAGAACCTTCTTGCTGCAAGGCAGCATTGCTACCCATTACCCAAACCTGTTTATAATACTGATAAAACTATATTAATGTATTTCTTTAAGATCTGAGGGGACTTAGAAGATACACTCAGTGTTCTCCTGTGGAATGTGGTCGGAAAAATCAACTTCCAAACACATATCTTCATATATTGATTCTAATATTGATTTATGAGTGTTTATTTTCATTCATTTACTAACTTTATAAAGAATTCACTCAGCTTTTCCCAAAACCTATACAGCTACAGAGTGTCTGAGTGAGAGTGGTTTGTTGACTCCCTTAGACTCCGAGTTCTTTCAACATTTTACTTGTTTTTTCTCTGTCTCTAACTTGTTTTTGATTAACTGCATGTGGAAAACACTTTTCACAGTTTTGCACACTTTAATTAGATAGTGGAATGCTGGATATCAGCAGCAATGTATCTGTTCTCCCTTCCAAGGTTTAATAAGGCCTGGTTTGAGTGAAGATTACCAAATCTCAATTCCTTGTTGTTCGTTGCACGTATAAATATCTCGCTGTTTTGATTGATGACATCCCAACTTTTAAATCTTACTTGGAAAATGATGGAAAAACACTAAAATAAAAGCTGGGTTTGTGTTTTTTATGTTGTTTGTCGGTGCAACTTTTATACACATGCAGCCAGAGGATGAGTCATAATTCAAATCAATTCAGTTTATTTATAGAGCGCCAATTCATAAGAGAAGTCATTCAGAGGTACTTTACAGAGACAATGCTGTCAGGTTGATTAGGAAAAAAAGTTTATTGCATCCAATCCTTGATTTACAAGACATACTGCTCCTGAAGGAGCTTGCATTTTGTAATTTACTCTTCATCAATCCCTTACACAGAGCATGAATGTAGCGAAAATGGAGAGTTTATAGGTTTCAATAAGTTTTTTAATGTTTTCCAGCTTGTATTTAAAGAAAAAAAATAAGTTTTTACTGAAGCATTTCTTTACAATAGTCTTTTTATTTGACCCTTTATGACTAAATCATTGTTTGAAGAGCAGAACTGAATATAAATCACAGCAACAGGTTGACATTTTTGCCCTGTGTAATAAACCTCAGAGAAGAGAAATAGACACAGTCCATCATCTCCATAGTCCGACGTGAGAGACTGTGGTGTGAAAGATTTGCACTTTGCTCCGTGTTTGATTTGGAACCACAAAGACATGTTTTTTTTTTCTCTGTCGTCTAAAACCTGACACATCAGAGAATTTCTGGGACTTAAAATTCATTTTTTTCTGTCTCATATCATCGAACAGATGGACTGAATGCAGTGTTGGTTATATCTGTTTGGTTAACAGTAAAAGCAATACAAAGATCATAGAAAATATTTATTCCCAGAATAGTGTCTATAAAGTGACACAGGCCTGGAATAGAACAAAGTCTCCCAGCTGGTGTTGACTCATTTCATCATCTATTACATTTGTACAAATACACAATCTTTTTTTTGCTCAACAAACCAACCAGTACAGACCAGGCTGGTCTTTTTTAGAATCCCTGGGATTCTGACTCACTCTGTCTTTCTGTCTCCCTCCCTCCATGGCGCTCTGCAGGGAGAGCATTTACTGGAACGTATGCAGATACACATGGCGTGTGTCCCTGTAGTTTCTGAACCGTACTCCTGTCATAAGATATTAGGATTACAAGGACTAGCTCACAGTACGCCATGGAACATTGAGGAAGCAGATGTTACATTAATGTCTAATGACTTCCAGGTATTCATGAATAAAGTGTTACAGTAACAGAGCAGAACTGCAGATCAGTGAGTACATTTCCCTAATAAAGCACGGAAACTAAAGAAAAACTATATTTGCACATATGAACGATTAAAAAAGAGAAGATTTTACGTTTCCCGCACATTTTACATCAAAATGTCCATCCTTTTTTGGACTAATACTAAATAGAGTTCCCAGTATTTTGTTTTAAAATTAAAATATGAAATATTACAGGTCCAGCATAAATGTATATTTTCCTTTTAAACATTTTATTGGCAAAGATAAGACACCTTTTATAGGGCATTGAAAGATGAGATATGACACACGTATATGTGGATGTATATATATAGATATATATATAGAGAGACTTAGAAAGATTATATTTTGGCATTTTGTACACACAAGTATAGACAAAAATATATTTCATTAAATACAGCTCTCTAGACTTTTTCATTTTTTAAAGGGCAGCCTTGATAAAGGTAAACAGCAGTGATAAAAACCTTGTGATGAAAAAACACTGATAAAAAATTTTTTTTTGTAAAGATATGACTGTGTAGTTACAGTTCCAACATTCAACGTTTTTTTTTTTGCTTTATATATAAATATATATATATGTACAGATACACACACATATATATATACATATACAGATCTATATATATATATGTGTGTGTGTCTATATATATATATATATATATATATATATATATATATATATATATATATGTGTGTGTGTGTGTATCTGTACATATATATATAGACACACACGTA